CTGAGTTTAACACGTAGGCTTTCGCGACCAATATTATTCATAATAAAGGTTTTTGGGTTAGATCGTGTTACTTATAAATGTGTCGTAACCCTCCACCACCCGACACGGCCAATCAGCAAAAAAAGTGTCATGTTGACAAAAGACAAATAGTTCACTACTTTAGCCCACCGGTGTGTTGAAGAGTGAATCCATGGACCGTGTTTCAAAAAGAGTGTGTGGGGGGGGGGGGGTGGATGGGGGGGGGGCATGACTCTGGTGAATGTTAAACAAACTTCAAACGAGTGTGAAACGCTGAACATCAGTGATGACAAGATCTGCGCGGTTGCCAGTCATGCCTTCTGCTCTGGCTCTCAACCCCCTGCGCGGATGAGCGAATGCTCTACGACACCCCATCGCTTCGTTACCGTACTCGTCTGCGCACGATGTCCGCCCCCTCTCGCCATCATTGCTGCGTGTGGACGGTGGTTGCCAATTCACCCATCTGAAGCCAGCACACGACACGCGGGCACGTTCCATTTCACGGCTAAGGGTGGTCCGCGAAGGCGCCCCAAACCTTGAGGAAAAAAATCCGCCGCCAACGTAAAATCTTTGTGCCAGCGTTTTTTTAACTTCGCTGCAGCATTTCCTCGCTCTTCGCGAACTTTCTGTCCGCAATTTTGGGCTGTCCACGAATCGCATCTGTAACTCTAGAGAACTGCATGGAGAGAGAGAGAAAGTGATGAGAGAAAGTGATGATGCTACTGGGCAGCATCATCATTTAAGATAAGTTCATTATAAACAATAATATAACTAGCCTTTTGCCCGTCCAAGGACGGGTATTTCAGTAAATCTGAAACTTGTGAGCGAAAAGCAGACCGCGATGTGATATTCATTGTGTAAGGACAGTACGGGGTGATGTAGGGACAGTACGGGGTGATGTAGGGACAGTACGGCTCCCCGTGGCCATGGTTACTAATTAACGTAACGGGAACAGACAGGGTCACGTTAGGGTAATGTGGGACCTAAGTGGTCGCTAATAATGATTGATGCGACAGGGTCGCGTGAGGTGAAGCACGGGACCTAACGGCCGTTAATTGTAATAAGGGCAGAGACAGACAGGGCCAGGTGGGGTGAGAGAGCGTTCGGGAATAGGGGCGTGGCCAGGTCGTGAGGGGGATAAGTGCCGGTGTGAACTGGGACTCTGGGCTGCTGTAGTGGGGGAACTGCCGTCGCCGTCGTCACCTTTGAGCGGGTCGTCTTCATCATCCTGGAGTGGGCATCTTTGTCGTCTTGGAAGGCGATAGTTATGTTGTTTCAGAATAGAGTTACCTATGTTACCCAAGTGTGTATAGTCACTCGCGGTTATTCGTTAAGTTATCGGTGAGTCGGCGGACTTTATTCATAATAAAAATACGTATATCTGAACAAGACGGTGTCTCTGAGAGGTAGATTACAATTGCATAAATTCGTGTGCAATTTGTAAGGCCGTGTGAGGGTTCTGCCTTTGTAGTGAGGGTTGTAAATTGACGCTGACGAGGGGGAGGAGGTGCCTCGCCCCCCCCATGTGGAGTGACGTCACCCGCTAATTAATATTAATGGAGGGGGTTTCCATTTGGAAGACGTCACCTCATCATGATTATTAATGAGGAGGTCTGTTCTATGTGGAGTGATGTCACCCGCTCATGATTTTTAATCAGGGGGGGGGGGTCCATGTGGAGGCCGTCACCTGTTCATGAGTATTAATGAGGGGGCTGGCCGACCTGGAGTGACATCACGCGCGGGACACACAGACATTCTTGGCTCATTGTAGTCGTAAATACTTTCATGTTACATTTCATTTACTTTGTGTTTATTATGTATTATAATTTAAAATTAATAGCTTATTTATGTATCGATTTAAGGCAATTCATTGAAAAAAGACAGGTTTGCGTAGGCCAATATCATTCCGCGAAATTTGCTCTTCACGAGCGTCTCCGGAACATATCCCTCGCGAATAATGAGGGAAGACTGCCTTAGAATGTATAAGGGGGGGGGGGGGGGGGGTCCTGGCATTAACCAGGGCGCAGGGCTGCAGGCAGGGAAGGCCCTGCAGCCCTGCAGCCCTGCCCCTGTTGATGGTCACCTTGGTGGGTTTTATGATCGGTTTGTTTGATTCTCTCTCTCCTTCACTTGCGATGGGCCCCGTGCCACGCGCGCCGGGTTAAACCATCGCACGCGCACAGTCCTTTGGTGTGCCCTGACCCCGGCGACCTTGGGGGTTGGGGTTACGCCCACCGCCCGAGTATTACGGAAAGATCAACAGTGGGTTTCGTGCCGCCGCGCGCCTTGGGCTCACTTTGCTGCTACTGCTGCTGCAGGAGAGAGGAAATTTGTTCTGCTGGTTTATTTACTTAATTTGTAACCTTCATTCTAGATTTGAAGTTTTCGTGCCTGCAATGATCCATACTCTTGGTTCTTTCGGTAAAGTCACGTAGGTAAAGAAAAAAAACATCTTTACCTACGTGACTTTGTAACCTTCATTCAAACGTCACTCTGAAGATGAAGAAGAAAACATAACTGCAGTGCGTGTGGTTTGAGCAAAAATCGACAACAACAACAACAAAAAAACACGTGACCAATTTGGAAGGAGAAAATTGGTCGACAATGATTAACTTCTTCTTTGGTTCTTTCGGTAAAGTCACGTAGAATGAGAATAAAATAAAAAATTGATTTGGTCATGGTGTAGTGGTGGCACAGCAGTTGTTAGCGCATCGAGCCATGAAGCCGACAACCTCAGTTCGATTGTCGGCCACGGCTACCAACAGCGACGAGCGATATCGGAACCAATCCTGGGACACCTCGCCACCGATTTGCCAACTCCGTACTGCCCAGCGTGGCGAAGTACGGTCAAACAAAACCCCCCCGTGATTGATATAACATGGGAAGGCCTTCATTCAGCCGTGGCTAGACCAAGGGCTGTACAATATTATATATTTTAATGTCAACAATTTATCGCTGTGATGTGCAGGCCGTTCTGAAAATACACCAAAGCTGCAAAAAATAATTTCAATTTTAAATTAAGTATTTGGTGATTAAACTAAGGTAATGTGACATGCGGTGATGATCGATTTGGCAGCAGCAATTACTAAATGTGCCACATGAGTTACGGAGGTGTAAATGCCAGCGCTTGAAGATGTTGGATGAATCATGATTTATATATATGGCTGGCAAGCGGAGTGCATGGCTCGCAACTAAGTACGCACGAGTTAAAATCCTGGTAAGGGATTGACTCAATTCTTCAACCCAACGGCGTTGATAAAATGAGTACTCTACAACCTATTGGGGAAAGCGAATAGTGGTTGTCCTGCGAACAAACTTGACCCCACCATAGGAGTGTGGAATAACCACCAGGAGAGCGGGGAATTCACTTTGCCTTCTGTCAAGTGTTTTTTAAAAAGACAATGGATAAACGACAGTTGATGGTTCAGCGTTATCGTTTTTCTTGCGCGTGTGTGTGTGTGTGTCTGTGAAACCTTTGTACCTTGTGTCCGTGCGTGTCGCAGCCGTCACTCTGGGTCATGATTGAGACGTCCACGTTTGTCGGTGGTCTTCCGATAACTCGGATTGCCCCAGTTTGAAATAAAGATTCTGATTCCATAACTCGAACCGTGGTCCTTAACCTTTACTGCAGCCTTGCACCCCTTCGGTTCGAAATCGTAAAAAAAAATGTATAATGTTACTAAATACATAGGCTTGATGTGTTTTCGATGATTTACCTTCTAAAACGTTCTGCCCATGTCTCGCACCCCCAGAAAGGGCATCACGCACTCCAGGTTAAGAACCACTGATCTAGAAGGAGCTTTCGCTGGTTTGAAATCAAAGCGTTGTCTCCCTGGCATTGAGAGCTTGTGTGTACGTCTTTGGTGTCTGCTCATACGTGCTTGTGTATACATGTGTGGGGGGGGGGAGTGAGGGGCACGGTGGTTAACTCTGCACTGCTTTATGAACCTGGTGTATGTATCTATGCATGTGTGTTCACTTGGCTGTATGCATCCACTGTGTGTGTGCGAATACATTGCGAGGAGCGGTGGTGGAGTGGTTAGCGCACTGGGGTACAAACCCGGCGACCCGTGTTCCATTCCTGTTTACGGCCAACACCAGTGACGATTATCTGCACCAATCCCGGGCCTTCCTTAGGTCGACTTAGCCTCAAATGAATACCTGGTGGGGCGTGTAAACTTTAACACTAGGGAGACAAAGGCGGCCGGGTGTGGTGCTGGCCACCTGCCCCCTCTTGTGCCGTGCCGTACTTCATACGTGCACGCTTAGAGCACTTGCCCCAACAGTCTATGAAGGCTATACGGGGAGATCTTTGCCTTTGTTGGAATACATTCAGGTCCAAGCATTGTTGCACATGTGTTTTTCACGATCCCAGCCTCTCCTGATTAATGCTCTACCCGTGCTAAACATTGAAATAAATAAGCAACCTGTAAAAATATACACGTCGGACACTTAAATAAACACCACCTACAACAAGAGGTGCACAGTGAGAACCTGCGTCTGAAAACAATGCTGCAATCATTGCCTGCAAGAAGAACGTGGCGGCCGTGTGGGTTTCTGGTGAATGATACACCTCGGCCTCGGCCTCCGGGGTCCCATTAAGTTGTGGCAAACTTGGAACATTGCCCACGGGGTGTCCATCCCCCCCCCCCCCGTCATCTCAGCAGAGGTGAGCCTCACTTCGTGCACGAACGAGGGAGGCAGCGATGGTCGGAGGCCGGTAACGGCGGCCGCCTCGATCCTGTGCGCGTGTGCGAACCGGTGCTGGGCCTCCCCTAGGTCGACTCGGCATCAAACGAGTACCTGCTGCGGTGGGTCAACAACACCACCGGGGAGACAAAGGCGGCCGGGCGCGGTGCTGGCCACCCACCCCGCCCTCGTGTGCCGTGTCGGCCTTCGTAGGCGCTGCTCGCTAACGGCGCTTGCCCCAACAGTCTGTTGAGGCTATACGGGGGATCTTTGTCTGTGTTGTGTGTTCCCAGCCCAGCACGCTGCCCCAGGGCACGCTGAACTTGGCCCAGTGCACGGAGGTCACGGGTGCGGAGGAGCGGACGGGACGCAAGCACTCGCTGCGCATCGCCGCGCCCGACAGGGAGCTCTTCATCGGAGGGGAGAGCAGAGAGGATATCAGCGCGTGAGTACAAGACAAAGATCCCCCATGTAGCCTTAACAGACATTTGCGGCAAGTGCTGTTAGCGAGTAGCACCTATTAAGGCCGGTCCGGCACACGAGGGGTTGGGCGGCCAGCGCCGCTCCCGGTCGTCTTTGTCCCCCTAGTGGCGATGTTTACACGTCGTACCCGGTACTCGTTTGAGGCTGAGTCAACCTTGGGGAGGCCCAGAACTGGTTCAGATAATCGTCACTGGTATTGGCTGTGAGAGGGAATTGAACTCGGTCGCCAGGTTCATAGCGCAGCGCGCTAACCGCTGCTCTACCGCGTGAGTACTCGCACACACGCGCGCGCTTCTGCGGCCGTCTGGAACGCTCTTCCTTCCAATATTAGGAAGCCACTGGAGCTATGCACTTTTAAATGTATATTGAAAACCAATTTCTTTAGAACTGCTACGCACGGCGCGAAAGAAGTTCAACAGATGTACTGTACATACCGGCTATTTGGGCAAGTGCTGTTAGCGAGCACCTGTCGAAGCCAGCACTGCTGGTGTTTGACACAATCTACCAAATAGTCATGTGAAGGCTGAGTCGCCCGAGCGGAGGTCCAAGACGGGCTCAGGATATCATTCGCCGCCACTATCAGCTGACAGACAAACACCCGGCATGCAAAACCCCACATGGATAAATAAATCATCAAGTGTGCTCGCGGAGTAATGTCATGGAAGTAAGTGTCTGCTCGAACTCTCAGACGGCAGTACATCACCCCACGTGCTAGGCAATGGCACGCGGCAGGCATGACAATGATGACATTTGTCATCATTGTCAGGGAGCCCATTGAGAGTGAATACCAATTTAGACCGACAACTTGTGTAACCATCTTTGCCCCTGCCTACATCGTTGACATGCTGCACCCATGGCCCCTCAAGGTCCCTAAGAGCTGGGCATGCTGCAGATATTCTTTGCATTCCCAGGTCGAGAATTCGCTGTGTGGGTGACCAAGCTTGTTCCCGTGTAGCCCCCAGGAACGCACTTCCACGAGATATCAGGGATCTCTCCGAGTCTGTGGACATTTTGAAAATGCGCCCTAAAACCTAATCATACACTTCCACTTATTGAGCGTTTAGTTTATTTAGTCAATGGATTCTTAAAATGATATTTTCATGCCGAGTGCTGCTGCTGCTGCTGCTGTGTCCTGTACAGCACTTTGAGATCCTTGATGAGAAGCGCTATATACATGGTATTATTATTATAATTAGATGGTGGGTTCATTACCATACACCACTTGCTCATAAACATCTTATGCTGAACCGATCTAGGGGAGGCCCAGATCAGGTAAAACATATTTCAGTTGCCACCGATGTTGTTCATGGCCAGGAAGCAAACCGAGGTGCACGGGGATTTCAGCACGCCGTGGGAACTTGGATTTTTATCGAAGCATCCATCACTAAAGATTCTCGTGCTGACGGCGGATACGCGCATCGAATCGCGAGTCCAAAAATGTATTATTTACGACTCGCGCAGATGAATGTTGCGCTTAGGCCGACGGAGTGAAGAAAACGGGTCAAACGAGAAAAAAATGTTAACGCTTACGGTGATGAACGTGACAAAGAGGAGCCGAGTCTTCAATCGAATCGCGGCTCCGAATGGTGACACTTCATCGAAACTCTGGGGACGGGGGGCGGGTGTGTTGAGTGTTCAGGGTGGTGGCTGGTGAATGAATCTGCCGGTCATCTCAGTCAGTCAGCCCATGGCACCACCTGGGTCTGTCCCGTGACCTGCCAGCAGCGAGCCTTCGATACTTCACGTGGCCTCGAAGTGCACCTGGCCTGGCACAGGCGCCGTGGGAACGTCACCGTCAATTTGTGGCGGACGGCGGCTGTTGCCGTTATTTAGCAGGCTTACACACGGACACATTCGCTAGCACGGGCGCGCCCAGTCACATGTCACCCGGCAGTCATTTATCCATTGTCTTGAGTGGTACATTATTATTGCCCAACTGACAGAGACCGTGGACTTTGAATGTTCCGGGAAGACTTTTTTTGAACGGATTTTTTTCCAGGACAGCCACCTTGAAAACCCTTGGAAAACCAAAACAGGTGGCATGCCTGGTCCTCGCGATGACACGCGGGGCACAGGCTCTCATTCTCCCTCCTCGTCGGTGGTGGCGGAGGTGGGGGGAGGGGGCTATTAAGGGATTAGAGCGCATTATCCCGAGGCGTGGCTTGGGATGAAGTTAATTTATCCGATTTTTAAATGCACGTCAAGTTGCCGCGACAGTAACCGACGTCTCTATAAAGTTTTTGGGTCGACAGAAAATGCGGAAGCAAAAATCCCCTGTTAATTGCTGATAATTCCGCTGGTTAAATCCGTTGCAGGCCCCTGGCGAGCAGTGGCTTTGTTTGTCAAAAAGGACCCGACAGCCATAATCACCGTGAGCGGTGGCTCTCGGAGCAGCAAGGCACTTGGCAGGGGGGAATTATGCGGCTCTGCTGAAGAAAAAAACCCCAACTCCGCTTAAGTTTTGTTTTTGTTGGGGGTGAAGTGGCTCGGCCCAGTGGTGCAAGCGACAAGAAGGCGAGCACACCGCAGAAAAGCGACCGTCGATAATGAAGCAACAATTTAAAAAGCGCTTTGTTGCCTCAAGTTTTTAGTCCTTCCACCCCGCACCTCCGATTAGCACGGTCGGCTACTCACGGTGCAAAAGAAGTTCAGCATGCGTACGAACATAAACATTGTCGTCACCATCTCCTCCGAGCGTGACATCTCGCTCACGCCACCTGCAGCTGGTTTGGCCCGAGGGCGGTGGTGGCCTCGGGCATGCGGGGTGGCGGTGGCGCTGTTTAGCGGTCGTGACCCAGCACGTCCCGCGATGTGGTGCACTGCCGCAGTGTCACCAGACCGTCGCGCTAACCGCCACTTGGCCGGCAACGTTACAGGCAGGGCTGGTGATGTTACAGGCAGGGCTGGTGATGTTACACACAGGGCTGGTGATGTTACACGCAGGCTGCTGATGTTACATGCTGGGCTGGTGATGTTACAGGCAGGGCTGGTGACGTTATAGGCAGGGAAACGTTACAGGCAGGGCTGGTGATGTTACAGGCAGGGCTGGTGATGTTACATTACAGGGCAACGTTACAGGCAGGGCTGGTGATGTTACATGCAGGGCTGGTGACGTTACATGCAGGCTGGTGACGTTACATGTAGGGCTGGTGACGAAGATTTAACGAACACAAAAGAACGTCGGGCGCCTTGTGAGTGTCGGTGCATCTACTCGCGTGATGACATAAGCACCGGGTTACTAAAACACAGCACAACTTTGTGGTTCTTCGTGCCCGGCCACCTATGGAGAGACTGGCTCCCGTCACTCAGCTGCTTTTGGAGAAGCAAAAAAAATGTTTTTACTTCCAACCATGGGAATGTGGAATGTTCCACTGTGGCATCGGGGACCGCCAACGGAGATGGACCTGCTTGTTTCAGCAAGGAGACCCTTTGGGTTAAATGAAAAAAATTCACTTCGACAAGGAATGTGTTTTCAGTAACAAAGCTTAACCAAGCCGAGCTTTAATGTAAATAATCCCGCGGTTTTTTTTTGTTTTACCTCAGCCAGGCATGACCCTGGCCGTAGTTTCCGATGTCAGCCAATCCTATTGTCCACCGGTTTCCGTTTTCCACCGTGGCATCGCTCGTGGAAGGAATCGGCGGCAGTCGACGGGAACCCGAATGTCACCGAGCATGCCCCCGCGCTCCCCCCCGATTCGCCGACGCTGCGCACGCCTCCCGTGCCCCTCCCGTGCCCCTCCCGTGCCCGCGATTCCCCGGCGGCACCTCGTCCACGACAGCAACGTGACCTGCAGTGGCAGCGGCGGCAGCAGCAGCAGCAAAAGGCAAATGAGAAAAGAAGAGTGAGTTGTGGAAGGTTAATGCCCCACCCCACCCCCGCCCCCCGGGGTGGTCTCCAGAGTCACCTCCACCAGCGATGATTTGCGCTCTCAGGTCGTGGCCGCACGCTCGCGCATCCGGTCAGGCGGGTTTGCTCCGCTCGTGAGTGAGGTGGGGCTCTCGGCAGACGCCGTCTCCCTGTCTCCCTCTCTCTCCGCTCCGGTTTTAGGGCCCGGTGCCGCCACACCCCGAGTGAGTTTTAAGCCTCGCGCGTCACACCGCTCCGCAGTTCCCACGAGTCGACCCAGCCGACTCCTCTCTCTCTCTCTGTCCCTCTCCCTCCGTATATATCTGTGCCGTGAAGTGCAACGCGACAGAAACACTCGCTGCAATACCAACAACTGAACCGAAGGAATCAAGACAACAAAACTAAGGGAATAACACAATTTGACAGCTTTTTGGGGGTGGCGGTGGGGAAAACTTTCATCGCGAAGAACATTTATGGAGAGAAGTATCCGGATTTGCTAGCAAGTAAGTGTCGCACATCGGGGTGTCGCCGTGCCGTGCGTGCGGTGTGCGGAGCGTGGCCGTGCCCGCCGGGAGCGAGCGAGCGAGCGAGTGGCGGCCGGCGACCCCGGGGGTTTTGTTTTGTTTGTTTGGGGATAACCGCATCGCGCTGTTTGAGCGCTCGGCTCACCGCCTCGGCTTTTCACCTCCACTTGAGCGGGCTCTTCCGCGCCGCGCAGGCTCGCTCGTCTCCGCGCGGCCGTGGGCCCCGCTTGCGCGTCGCCGCGGTCGCCGCGGTCGTCGCTCTGGGCGCGCGGCCGAGTCGCCGGGTCTCGCGCGACTTTTGACCCGCGCGACTTTTGACCCCGGCCGCCTGAAGCGAGCGAGGCCGCGGCTTCCCCACGCGTGCGGCGGGCGCTGCAGCGCCGTTTGCGGCGTGCCGATTTATGCCGTGGGCGCAAAAAAGGCAAAACGTCCGTCGGTGTGCACTGCCACCGCTCCTCCGGTGAGCACGGTCGGCCACGGACGGTGCGGATGAAGTTCAGCGTACAGCGTACGTACTACGTACATGCCAAAGGAAAAGTGTGTAATAGGTGACGTTTATGGCAAGTGGCTCTTCTTCATAGCACACAAATG